TGTACATTATGGTTTATTGCTGTACGAGTCTCGAAAGTAAAAAGAAGATTAAGAGACTATGATATGGAAAACATATTTTTTCGATTAATTAAAAAATATGTTTCCCATATCATAGTCTTTTAATCTAAAAAATAAAAATTTAAGAAATATTTGAGGCAAAGAAAGTGTATTACGATAAATATTATAATCTTGGCTTTTTTACACATGCAATACGCGATACACCTATATCGGCCGTGACAGTTCCGCGCATCCCACGCTTAATTAGCACACGAACGAGCATCTCGAGGTTAATGGGTGATCTCAATTTTTATCGCGAAACGAGAAATTCCCAGGTCGATGATGCAAAGGTGCAAAGCGTGGAATCTCGGCTTTCTCGGTGAAGAAGCGCATCCTCTGCGTGCTGCATAGTCGTATGTAAAACCCGCTTTTTATCGATCGGCACGGATCGTTACCGAGAGCTCTGTGTTAAACCGAACAGTCCGCTTTCAGACGGCCAATTATACAACGGCGAGCATTATTTAGCGGCTCGGCTCGGTTTTGTTACGATTCGCGATCGCGACCCATTTCTCCTTGTCTCGCGCAAAAGCATCGGAATGAAAGTGGAACTTTGACGAAAGTGCGCATTTTTGTCCGTTTTACAATTACTGATCCAGGGGAGTCTCTCGGAGATTTTCTCGACGATAAATGATGACCGCAAACGATCCACAAGCTGCCAGCAATATTAATTAACGCGATCATAAATTAATAAATCGGAAAGCGGCATAATAGGCGGCATAATAGGCGACTCTCAAAATTATCATTGGAATGAGTACGATTTCAAACGAAATTAATGATTTTCGCTCACAATTAATTACTAAATTTTTATTTAATGAATATAATTGATTAATAATAATCAGAGCTGATAAAACTCCTAATGTGTCACAACTTATTAAAGTACACTAATTAAGTCAACTGCATATTTAAAATAAAGATGAGATCATATTAAAAATCTGGAACAACCTGTGTTTGTTAATAATTACAGGAAGAAAATTCGCGCGCTACTGACGTTTGAAGTTATTCCGCAAGGAACACATTAATTATACGCGTTCGTGATTTACCGTTCGACATAGCTGATAACGAGTGACGAACCAGGATGACTAAGAATCCGACAGTTGAGGAAACGTTCGTTGACTATTCGCGACGCTTTCGTTCGATCCGATTGTATAAGGGATCGCGATTATCCCATATGCGAGCGTAGCGAGCTCTTTAATTAAAGACAAAACCGGAAACCTCAAACAGTCCCGCCTCGGTCTGGAACGTACTATCGCCTTCACGCTTAATATTTTACGCATGCAACGCGAGCACGCGCGCATTTAGCAAACGGTGATCCCGACGTGTGTAAACATACTAGTACATGCAGACGTTTATAGATAACAACGTGACGTTAGACAGGTGCGTATGCATAATAAATTTACGTGATGACGCAATTAGGCATTACTCATCGTTATTGAATGGCATTTAAACATTTGTGTTGCTAGAAAAAAAGAAAGAAAAAAATATTGTCACGAGAAAAATTACTATTCTAATATAATATTCGCGATAATCGGTAAGAAACGCGAATTTAGTGCACTAACGAGATAAGCATCTAAATAGTAATGTTAGAGATTCGAAAGATGAAAAGTGATAACGTTTTCTAGGATTTCTCTGTTTTATACGCTTATGTATTATGCGAATGTTTGGAAAGACTTGTCTGTAGGAAAAAATAATTATATCCGGAAGTAAAATGGGAGTCACACGTGCTGTCATTTGAAAGAAAGTTGCTCTTCTTGAATGCACAAAACTGCATTGTGGAGATAGTTGTAAGCCGACCTATTCTCTTTCCCCTTCTTGAAAGTTACATTGCATATTAATCTTATATTTTCATTGTTATTAATTTATTAATTAATATTAATAATATTATTAATATATTATTATTAATATTAATAATATTAATAAGTTTGTTTCTTCGTACTTTTCGTATATATATCAATATCAATACATTAATTATTTTACTAATGTATTATCAAATATTAATATATTATTTTTGTGCTTTTTATTTTCATATTCAACTTTAATACAATGAAATGTTGTGATTTACGTCTTCTTTCCGTCTTCTTTCTACTCTTTTACATTTTTTGCACTTGCCGTGCGTATAACGGGTTACCGTTCAGATCCCATTTAAAGGACATAGGCATAGGCCTTTTATACAGAGATCAAAATTAAAACGACACGCAGAACGCGGAAAGATAGGGGAACGTGGGTAGACAGACGCAGGCAGAGCGTAGTGCCGGGTATTGTCTCTGAGACCGTTGGTTGTTGCCTAAGTGGCTTGTTTCCACGCTTTCGTGGCTTTCCGTGGTCGCCCTGGTAGGAATCGTGTTGTCCATGTACGAAATTCGAAGCTCGTAAAAGTTATTATTATTTTAAAACTCAATTACGCCAATGATTTGAATTATAAATAACGCTGGCATTAATTTCGTTACGTCTTTGAGAGAATACGAATATAAAAAAGAGAGAGCTCAATTAAACAATGTTAATAGTTACAAACAAAATTGCTGCAACATTAATGCTAACACCGACAAAATTTACGAGAAAAGTATGTTAATGAAAAAAGAAAAATAGCAGAACGATAGAGAAATAAATACATAGATTTGAAATTTCTTGTTCCAGACTCTGAAGAATTCAGCAGAGCACATCGCGTATTCTCGCTCGTCGAAAACAATCGAGTAATTTATGGTGCTTGTCTGACGAGCAAGTTGAACTGTGTCTACGAATTACAATTTCGATCGCGCTTTAGCGGCGTGAAGATAAAAAATAAAAGCGCATTTGAATTTTAAAGCGCGCATTGATCTCTGCAACATTTGCGAAGAAGCATGTACTTTTCTACTGATGACTTTCGTTATTTTTCCTTTTTTTTTTTTCTCTTCTTGCAGAGGAGAAAATTGCCTCTTCGAGAAAACACACGCACAATACACAATACCAATACTTGGTATGGTAAATAAGCAGTCTGATGTTAGAGGCGGATGCAAGTAACCGTCTCGCTTCAGGACAGCTCACGAATACCGCAGTGTCTCTCGAAAGGGCATAAAGAGAAAAAGGAAATGTTTGGCATAATTAAAGAGAAGTGTAGAATAAAATTATAAGACGAGAGAAATTCAGTTTACTCTAGCGATGACTGACACAACACGAAGAAAATAGAAAAAGTATATTACAGTATGACTGTTTGGTGAAAATATTCTAAACAGCTGTTGCGTAATTAATTTGAAACTTAGACTTAGAGAGAAAGAGAGAGAGATCAGAAGATACAAGAGAGAAATCAGCTCGTATTTTTAAAAAATTGGTTTTTTTTATATATATAAAATAAAGGACTATTTCCTTCCGCGATTTTATTAGAGCTATTATACTAACTTCTGAAAAATTACTTATTGCAGGTTTTATTGAGTCTGTAATTGAGTCTATCTCCTGTTCCTCGAACGACAAATGTGGAAGTGGATTTTCGAGTTCCGCGTTATCGAGTTACGTAATCAATGCATGCTCGTATATATCGCTTGGCAGCAAATTTTCCGTGGAACGAACAGCGTAATGTTGGAAAGCGACTGTGTCCGTTAGACACGAAGGTGAAAATTTCCGGCCGGTTGGCGTTAGAATGTCTCTCGTCTTGCGATTATTCACCGTAAGGCTTTTTTATTTTCAACTAACGTTAAAGACAAAAACATCAACAATTTTTATTTAGATGTTTGCTATCTGCATCTACTTCAACATTTTCTATCGTTACTTGATAATACGAAATTTTACGATAGTACAATTGGCGTGTCATTGCGATCAATGACACACTGAATGATATGGTCGACACTTGCAATGCGACCGACTGGCGATGCATTTAGTTTCGTATTGTGCGTAAGAATACACAGGGATAGCAAAGATATCTTTGCCTTAAATAAATAGAGATATTTTAGAAAAATTATATACAATGTCTTTTATACAACTATCCATTTTATCAATCAGATAAAACGCGTTGCAGTAACAAGTGCAATTATTGAAAAACAGCCCGCAACGTTTTTAATTTATCTTAATCAAGATAAATAGATTCTCGTTTATATGGCGAGTGAGTCATTTTACCTTCATTCAGTTTGTAATAAAACAGGTAACAATGAAATATAAGATATAAAATCGAAGAGAAGACAAACGCTTGCGAAAGTGGAGCACCGGTTGCAACGCGTAGCTACAGCGCATACGTACATAATGCAACTGTGCACAACATATGGATTGCATTATGTATATATGAAAGCAGACGCGCGACTATATATGTTTCTCATTAAAAATTATTTTCTATCATATATGTTTCTCATTAAAAATTATTTTCTATCATATATGTTTCTCATTAAAAATTATTTTCTATCGGATATGTTTCTCATTAAAAATGATTTTCTATCATATATGTTTCTCATTAAAAATTATTTTCCATATTCTCTTCTAGAAAAGATGATATCAAATATATTGCAAACGAAGAAAGTAAAATTCACCTTGTTAAAATCGATATAGAGAGAGAGAGAGAGAAAGAGAGAGAGAGAAAGAGGCTGTGTTAATTATTTTTTATCTACTTACATAAATGAGCAAAATATTACATAAGCGTTATTTATCTTGTAATTATTATTACACATGATTAATTACCCATATATTTATATATTTCATTACTTAAGTGAAAATGTTAAACTATTTTCATTAATTTTCCTTTCCTTCTATTTTTAGATCTTGTAATTTTAAATACTTATAAGTGATTTTATTTCAATATTATCAATATGATCAATACTTTGATTTTTTTATTATTTATTATATTCGACAAAAGACGAAGATAAAAGACAAAAATAAAAGAACGAAAATATTCTATTCCTTATATTCAGTTCTAAATTATATTTTTTTTCCTGAACTAAATTACATAAGAATATTCGTACAAAGGAAACATGTTTAAACAATACACTCACTTCTAATTTTGTGGAATATTCCTCAGCTAAAGCCTCGGCCTGCTTCGTTAGCTCCTGATTCCTTTCAAGCAAAGCTTTGCCGAGTTCAGCAGCCAAAACGAGGTCTCTCTCGCGTTGCTTGAGCAATTCGCTGGGATCCTGCACAACGTCCTCGTGGTCCAGCGAATGCCTCCTTGCCTGAAGATCTGATATCATGTCTTCCAGAACGTATGACTCTGTCTGACTATCCTTCTTCGGCAGCATCGCGAATTATTGGCGTTCCACTCGCGGCACAACACGACAAACGTCACTTCTGCCCCGTTTCGCGGATCAAATTTGCATATCTCGATCGATATATCATAGACGCGCACGCGAAAAACACTCAGACGAATACTCTGGCACACGTCAGACGCATTTGATATGGATTTAATGCACGGAGATAACGCCAGTGATGTCGTCACAATCGATTCTTTCTCGTGAACATCGAACGATTGTGCGTGGGCAGTCGTGTGTGGGCCGAGCTATCGCGCGCCATTGATTAACTGAAATCAATTAAATTCGGATTTTCATTCTCGACGCATGAAACACTGAAAAGGTAACGTCCAGATATGACACTTTGGAACATTTGACGAATAAAATTTCAAAAACTCAAGAAAGTTTTAGAAAACGTTTACATTGGATATTGATAGTAAGGCGAGAAAACAATTTCTGCCAAGCACGTATATTGGCAGATTATCACCTGAATGATAAGAGAAAACATAGAAATGAAATACATATATTTGTCACGCTTGCCATACGTAAAACAATAAAATATCTTCGTGCGTTACGATTAAATACAATTTATTAAAGTTTATAAAGCATTGTAAAAATATGTTATGCAATCATAAATAAATATTATCTTATCTATATCTCTTATTTATGTGCTCCTAAGTATTTTCTATCTACAGGATTAATCATATATCAAGTGAAAGAATGCATTTTAATGTTTTAGAATGAATCATATTCAATCAATACTGTATTTAATTTTTTGTTAGTTTTTATTATAAAATAATCTTTTCAAAAATTTTCAATATTATATATTTTTAAGAAATATAAGAGAAATATAAAGAAATTTATGTGATAAGAAATAAAAAGAATATTTATGTGGTAAGTCTATGTGCAATTTATATTTTCTAAATTTATTAAAATATTTTAAATTTAAAATATTTTTTTAATTAAATTTCTGTTTATCAATGGAATGTATTCAATATTTTTTAGTTATGAAATATCTATCAATAAAAAGAACTCTTCTATATATTTTAATTTTTTTAACAAAAATATAACAAAATATATATATATCAATAATAAAAAAATAAGTATTAGATGTATTTATCAGTATTTCTTTTTTTTATAGGGTCCTTTCCATTATTGAAGAAGACTGTGAAAACTACTGACATTTGAAAAGACATTTTTACAATCTGTCTGGACCGCATGCGATAACTAAAAGCCGCCGAGCCGCTGAAGTCTTACAACTGCATGAAGCACGCAATCGAAGAGACGCATAAATAACGCATAAATTATTCATCTTTAAACTTACATGAATCACAATAGATCGTTGGCGATTTTTTTGTTGAATTTTTTCTCCAAATGTCGCATTTCTTCGCGCTCGATCGCTACCGGAAGCGATCGGCCACTTTGACATTGAACTCAATGCATTCGTAATCGTACAGATGTAAAGAGATCAATTGCTCCATCACTCTAGGCGACATTATTACCGTTATCGAGGCAGATAACAACGACTTCGCGAGTGTAACGCACCGTTGCACTTTGAAAATATCGATCGCGGAAGTCTTAGCGCGTTATCGATCGGTCGGTTGTCACTTCTTCGGCGCTTCTCACACTTCGCACACTGTAATTCACTGTTACATATTTCCAGTTGAACGAAGGGACTGTTATTACGGATGCGCAATTTATAAATTCACAAATTGTTCCCCGTTACTTGGAACAAGGTCACCAGGATGGAAAGTCTGACGAATTGCGACACAATAACACTTCGTTCACCTATTTGTCCCAAACATCCGGGTGGGAATTCACGTGGGTTTAATCCCGCCTGTGATCCGAAACGTGAAAACCAATGATTCTTGAGCGTCGCTTAAAACGCTATAAGGTCCTTCACTTATCCATATGAAGTCCGTTCAGTTTAACTTCATCATAGCAGGATAGTGAAGAAGATGGTTTTTAGACACTGCATTGTCCATTTCAAAGTAATAATTTTATTAATTATTTTTAGGAATCTTCTCTATTGAAATCAAGTTGAAGATTTTCTTACGCATCTCATTTATTATCCGCTTCTGCAAGAAAAATTAGAAAATTCATTTCTTATCGTTGTCGTCATCGTTCATATAAATTATTTCGACGCGTTATCGACTACCGACTATGGCATTATATTCCGAATATTAATATTACAAAGGAGGCACTCCTATACTTCTACGAATAACTCGTTAAACATATGATGTAACGTGTTATTTTTGTTTTATTTATACGATTAATGAATCATCAACAAAAGATTGGCGTTCATTTTACTAACATTTTAGAGAAATCGTCTTTTACATGAAAACAAAGTATATACATATAATAGCGTTTATTAACGTTAAGCCTCAATTTTGCAGCGTATTCAAGTGTATCCAAGTTTCTGTTTCAGGACAAGTTTCACCATAAGGTACGCGAAACCTACTCGATTCTAGGCCTCATTACGAGTTTTAACTGGCGAAAGAAAAGAAATATATTAAAATCGAGTCAAGCCAAGCGAATGTAAATAGCTTTAATCACTCGCGATAGATTTCGTTGACACACATGGGCCACCTAAAAATCGACTTGCGCAAACCAATTTGCATGGGATTTTGCCGCGTACGTATATGCCTTCTATATACGATAGCAATCCGCGAAACAATTACGTCGTATTATCCTTGAATAGCAACAAAGTGCTTCCAATGGTCACGGACGAGCACGTGCGACAATTTACGCTTATCGATTCTGACGTCGGCTCTCTCTCTTTCTTGCTACGGGCCTTCAATCTTCGCCGCCACGAATAAATCCAATAAAGGGGATGAATCCTAGACTGATTAGAGCCCGCATCAATACCACGTTAAGTCGATCGACGATTGGGATAACAAACCGTGAGCACGTTCCCTGTTTGACGTCACGTCGTGATCATCCTTCAGCTTCTTATTATATCATCTACTACATTTTTTTTACTACAAATTTTTCAATTAAAAATTGAAGGAATTTTCTGAATATAATGACTCTAGTCTATTAAACTTGTTAATTGTAAAAAAAATGATTCGATAAATTTTTGATACTTTAATACATTTTTCTGATTCTTCCTAACTTTAGTAATATCTTACAATATGCAATTTATATAATCCTGATTAATATGATGTTATAAATATTTGTTATTCTTTCTTCGTGAAAACTAAAAAAATAAACATTATTAATGATACGCACACGTCTGATTAAAACTGATTAAAACACACGCGGCACTTACGGTCGCGGCGATGAGAGAGGCTACAATTACGCGGATCTCGCACACAAACTCGCGCGAGTCTACCTGCTCGCCGTGGCGCAGTCGGCCAGGTAGTGAGTCACTAGCCGTGAGTGGAAAATAAATATTACGGAATCGTACAGCGTGTGCTCTCCACGAGAACGACCAGCGCGACTTCTCCCACCAGATTGCCGTTGAAAGTAATTCGTTCGGCTCGACGCACCCGCCCGCTCGTTCGCTCGTTCGGCTCTTTGTGTTGATTCGCGTAAACGAATAAATTTGCATTAACAACATCACATTTTGTATTTCTTCAGTGGAATAAAATTAAATTCTGGAATTAAATTTTTTGTCGTATTAAGTAGAGGCTACGAATGGCAAATCTAATAGAGTTGGGTAGCATTAAAAATTAAGTACACGCTTCTAGACGTCAAGAAGTAATTGCTATTCTTACAAGACTAGATATTATTTAACTCTGCTTTCCAGTTGATCCGTAACTCGTTCTTTACCGTAATTCTAATTTAACGAAAACTCCATTAAACCATGATTTTCACGATATTACTCCAATTTTATCACAATCGCGATACCGATTATTCATATCGCATACTCTTTGCGACTACCGTTTTAATATCGATCGAAGCGTGTCCGAGTGACCATCAAAATCGCTGTTGAACTCCGAGTGACGAAATGCGAGCGATTCTATCGATGGAATTTTGCGCGACGAACCTACGATGCAAATAATGGAGTTACGTACGAAAGACACTGCGCGACTAACGATAGTCGAAACCTGAGAGGTTCCGCGCGTTCGTTACCCGCGCGGCGGGCAGAACCGATCGACCCGGCGACCTTCCCCTCCGGAGGTGAACTAACGTCTCCCCCGTCTGCATCCTCGAGCATGTGCCCCCACTACTTGATCCACCTGGTCGAACCACCACCTGACTGGATCCCACCGAATATTCACGGATCTCACTTAACGAACCCAGTATATATTGTTTGTGAGACTCTCAAACGACGAGAGAAGTGGATCTACGAATCAATGATTGATGCGTCAATTTATTATTTTTCATTATTTATCTCTTGAAAATATCTGGAGAACGCTATGTTTGAAGAATGATTAGAAAAGAAGAGAAAATCCTGGATAATTTAAGATCTAGAATGATGCAATCATTTTGCGAATTTCTCATTTTTATGTAATGTCTGATAAATATATGTCTAGACGTAATCTTATTGTGCTCTGATTTTATTTTCCCTTGAAATGGAACGCATTATGCGGCTGTTTACCTCAGCGATCGATACGCGCGAATTAGCGGAGCAATTTATCAGTTCATTTTTTATCTTATTGCTACTAGTTTCACTAGAATAATACGAGATAAGATTGAGAAATTAAATTTGTTTATTAAGATTCTTATTGCTTGCAATATCAAATTAATTTTTCTAATTTTTTATATAATAAATAACAGATTGAATGCGGGGAGTAATAAGCTTGCGAAAGAATCTGCAATTTAAATAAATGTTTGAAACATAAATATAATATATCGCGCAAAAATAGATGTAAAAGATTCATGATTGATGATAATCTAAAACAGAAATTAATTTCCGCAAATACCCAAAGCGTTCGCAAACGTTACGTCGTTGAGCTTATCGCTTGGCAACCGGAAGTATCAACAGAAGCAGCCACATTATGCCATACAGCTGCATCGGATGCGCGAGGTAGCAGATGTCTTTCTCAAATGTCGGCGTCCAATGTCATTGGGGAGATCATAACTGGAGTGCAAGCCGGCTCTGCATGGATCTTCGTGATCAGCATCGATCGCGAAGAAGACGCCGACGTTTAAATCCCTCTTAAACTATCTCCTATGAATCTGTCGTAAAAAAAGTAGGTACACCTAGTAACCTTCGAGACATTTTTTTCAAAAATTCAGTAATAATTTATAAGTAATAATTATTCAAATTTTAGAATCATTGAGGAAATTCGTAGTGCTCGCCAAAGAGACAAGACTCCGAAAAAATGGCGTACAGACAACAACCAGCGGCTCAGGACGAACTGGAGCTCGAGACGATGGCGGAGCTCTCGAGGCTAAAGAGACAGTATAGAATAATGGAAAATGATCGAGCAGCGTGTGCGGAAGACGCGAGGTTACAACTTAGCAATCAGCAAAACATGATCGAACGTCTGGAGTACGAAAAAGCCGAATTAGTACTGGCGATAAAAACCGCGAGATCAAAGGCCTTTATACGTAAAGATGAGGAGATGGACGAGAAATTAAAATGTTTACTGGCTAAACGAGCCAAGTATATTGAGCTAATAGAGATTGAGAAGCAGCAAATAAATGAACTTGATGAACAGATTAGCAAGGTTGCTAGTATTATCAATATCGAGCTTAGATCTACATAAATATATATAATAAATAAATAAATACAAATAAATTAATCAAATCTAAAAATCCGATTGAATACAATCATTGATTCATAGATCTGAGAAAAATAGGACAGAATATTCAATAACCAACTATTATACTATTATTTGACCGCGATCGTTGTTATTAATAATAAATGAAAGGAGCCATTACATGATTATCTCTATAAGTGCTAATAAAAAAATAAGCCACTTTCGTCTGCAATATTACAACGAATCTTGTTGCAGCTCTCGAAAGAAGTTACAAGTCTGAAGATGAAAGTGCGCACCGATGTACAATCGAGAGAAATAGCGGCGCGGCACAGCAAGGCAGTATTGATGTTGGAAAATCGGGTGGAAGTGGCGACGAAGAGATTCAACCTGGTGATAGCGGAGAACTCAAGGTTGCGCGCCGAAATCGAAACCTTGCTAAAGGAACGGGCACAATTCACACAGATGTGGAATAAATTGATCAGCCAGTTGAACGTGGGCAAGCAGGTCATTAACGACCTGATCGAGCAGGCGACCATCACCTTTAATCAGCGGGACGAGGAGCTGCACAAGATTCAAGCGCTTCGCGAGAGGTAGATTTTTCAGTATTGGATTTTTTTCATGTCTATGATGTCAATCATAATAAAATTATGATCACAAATATTTGTATCATCAGATAATAAGATTTCAATGTTGCAATTTATGCGCGAAGCAATTCTGATTTACCGTGACGCCTTTTTCGTTTGAAAATGATTTGCGAAACAAAATCGCGAAAGTAGAAACGTTCGACGCGGATCATTGCCTTCATAATTTAGATGGTTGTTTTGTTAATAATAATTCAGTAGCGTTTGATTTGGAATTAATATCCGACGTCATTGTCGTCGTCGTTGAACTAGAAACTCCGGGAGCAACAGTCGATGATGGAGCCAATGGCGCATGGAATTTCCGTAGATCACGCTTTCCATTTAATTCCGTAACGGTTCCTTGATTTATTCGGTCACGGCGTGAATTTGCATAATCTTCTGTATATCTTCCTGCAAAAGAAAAATTTTGATCAATTTAATCTAAGCTAACAAATATGTTTTCGTTTGTAGAGGTATAAGAGATCTGAAGAATCATACGTCGGAAATGTGCGAGCTGAGGAGAACCTTGGATAATGAAATGAAGCTGCAGGAGTTTCTCGGTGTCAAAGGACAATTTCGCGAGATGGTCGATCTGAACGCGAAGAAAGAAGCTGAGAGACAGGCTAAACGAGAGGAGAAACAGAACAAGATAGCGGCCTTGACGCAAATTTTGCAGACAATCAAGCAATTTACTGGTACCATGAAATATTTTTATTTAAAATAACTGGAGATTTTAGTTAGCATTTAAAAACGTATTACTTTTTTCTAATATTTTCACATTTTCTCACAACTTTTTTGTTTACTCTAGTTTGTTTATTCTAGTTTACATTTATAGTTCATTTAAAACTTAAGATATTTTATATTTTATGCTTATTTAGTATCCGAAAATATTACTTCCGACAGTTTTTGCTATCGATTTATCGTTATATTCTGACTGCAATTAACGCAATCGTAATAAATATTCAATAAATACATAGGTGAGCAAGAAATCGACAAGCTCACAGCGCATTTTATCAAGCAAGAAGAGGAGAATTTCGCACTGTTTAATTATGTGAACGAGTTGAATGATGAGCTAGAGAGTCTTCAGGCAAGGATGGAGCAGCTGACAGCAGCCATCGATGAGGCACGTGCCCAGAATGTACATCGTGATCAGCAGCAGACCGAAACTTTGGAAAAGATTGCCATTGAACTGCAGGAACAGACAGCACTAGCGAACGCTGCTGAAGAAGACCTCGCACAGGTTAATAAATCATTCAAAATGTTACTTTTATTTTTTTCTCATTTTTCTCACTTAAAAATATATCTAAATATATAATTCACAAACTATCTTCGCTATAAATCTCTGTAATTTTTTTATTAATATATTAATACTATGTTTTTCAAGGATTACCTCGTTATTATATGGGTGTTATCCTTGTCCTTAATACAATAAAAATGTATAGCTACACAGTTTTAATGTCCGCATAATGAATCGCAACCGAATATAATAAACGATTACTCATAAACTGCTTTATTTCAGTGCAACGACGTGATGGATAAACTGCTACGAGGGATCGATGGCCTCTTCAAGGCGATACGATGCGACAATTCGCCGATTTTAGAATTGTTGGGCGACAATACTCATGTGACAATGAGCAACGTCATGCTCTACTTGGGCATTATCGAAAAACAGATCACCGGGATGTTTCACAAGGTTTATTGGGTGGACAAGACCAGCAAAATTCCGCAATTACGGATAGACGAGGAAAGGAAACCCAAATTGAAAGTACCTACCATTAATCGCATGGTACCTACTCAACCTTGTACCCTGTGAGTCCCGTTTCGTCCTTCTTGCAATCCTTTTTCCTTGACCTTTCCAGGCCATTATTTGGCGAGTATTTTCGAAGACTCGCATTTACTCCTAAATGTGGCGAAATCTAATTTCCGTTTTGTATTTCAAATTTTAATTTCCTCTAAAATGATAATCAAAGACAAATATTTGTAATAGACATAGTGCTTAGAGATATCATATCAATGAAAAAAAGACAAAAATAAAAGTAGATTCTATTAGTCAGCCACATTTAATGCTAAATGCGCGTTGAGAATACACGCAGGCTGTATTGACTTCCTCTGATTATTTTAACACAACACTCGGATACAGCTGCGTGGAGCAAGAACAGATGCAGTTTGTCTCAGAGGGCCTTGATGTACCGCTGACACGTGCCGAAGCCATGCAGAAACTGCGACAAAGACTCATGGACGATTACTCTATGCTGCTTCATAACGTATCCGACTGTCGTTTACCAGCGGCTAGGAAGATTATGCAAAGACGTTATCAATAAAGAGAATTAGAGATCAAAGAGAATTAACGACAATGCATTTTCTTCGCGGACTCGTGATCTGACCTTTCCTTAATGACATAATGGCGCTTACCTGATGCATATAAGCAAATCAAATTATCGCAAAAATAATGACGAGATCGGAAAAGAAAATAGTAATTGCTTGAGTCAATTTAATGTCTGCGGAAGAAAGATTTATTTTATTCTTTTTGAGATATATTTGAAAGGTCCTTTTCCAACAATAATTTTTTATAGAGATATAATTTATAATTTTTTGTTGCAGAGAACCACAATCGCTTTGTTATCATTTATTCCGTTATTACGTCACCGCAGAAATCGTGGTAATATATGTTCTTATTCGTGATGCGGCAAACCTTTCTCTTCCCGCACCTTCTTCTTGACGGTCTTGATAATTCGCTTTAATTCAAGAATGGTTCGTTTAATGTGAACCAACTGTTGTTCGACGTCCTCGCTGCTCACCTTGACAGGTATCTCTTTCCTCTTGCAAATTTGTTGATACATGTTCCAGCAACACGCCTTCACTTGCGTCAACTCCAAGTTCTTCTTAGCGGCAGTTTCCTTTATTTTCGAAACCATTGTTTCCCACTTTAATGCTTGTGCTTTCGCCCGATCATATCTCTCTTGCAATTGTACCACTTTATTATTCAGTCCCATTAATACTTGCGATTTAACTTCCGTCAACTGATGCTGCAGGTAAAGAACAATTTTTTTGTAGTTCGACTCTTTCTTTAATCTTTTTTTTTTATTAAAACTAAGAATAGATATATAAGTCCAGAAATATATATTTTAAAAAACAAGAGATATTGAGCAAGAAAGTATATAAAAAAAGTAAGAAATATTAAATCTATCTGAAAAAACTTATTAATTAAAAAATAATACAGAAAAATCGATTTCAGATACGAAATGTGAATAAAAATGATAAAATAATTAATTTAAAAGTATTTTTATAAAAAGTTCACAAATGTGTTTTAATTATTGTGTTTAATTATTGAAGATTAATAGGGTAGATAATTCCGATTAAATATTACTCAGATAAGACTAATTATTAATTTAAAAATAAATAGTATAACATTTTTTATAAAATCCTAGCAATTTAAAATAATAAAATCGAATATATACTATTTCTGTTCCTTTATATTCTAGTAATTGAAGATTTCTGTCCTGATGATCAGATAATGCTTGTCTGGCCTCGATTAAAGTTTCGTAACGATTAAAAATTTCATTAATCGATTGAAACTCTCCCGTTTCGTTTATCACTCTATCCAAATAATTTTGATACTTCCTATATTCCTCTACATATCGTTGCATTTTATCACGCACATCTTCCATATAACGTAGTTTTTGTTTTAATTCTTCGATCTAATGAAAAAATATCAATTATATAATCAATATAAATTATTTTTTTTACAGCTAATTAAATAAAATTTATAAAAGAGCTTAGAAATATTGAAATAATTTTTTTATCAAGTCCTTATCGTACTTCTCGTCTGCATTTCTCTTGGCGCTCATGTTCCTCCTTGATCTTTTGCTCCGCTCGCTCGCGTTTCTCAACATTTTCCTTCACAAGTGTATTAAACTTTATAAAAGAATCCCGCAACAGCAATTGCTGTTTTCTCGCCTCTTCCCATTGCTCGTCCATATGCTTACGTTTTATCTCTCGTTCCGCTTGTTTCTCTTTCAGTATCTCTTCGACCTGAGCTAATTCTCGACGAGTTTTGATGACTTCCGTTGCCGGACAAACCCTCGCTTTGTCCCATTCCGGATATTTTCTGATATGTTTAGGTAATAAATGTATAACTTTTAATATTATAATAAATCTAATAAATCTATATAAATAACAATAGTTAATTAAACAATAGTTAATTAAACAATAGTTAATTAAATTAATTTTTTTATATTAAAGTTTTTTTTATTAAATTTTCTTACTAATAAAAATAATGTCTCAAAATTTATAATTCTATTACATTGTCCGCTTTATATTCTAATTGATTATTACAATATATTGTCTATTTTATATACATCTTTATTTTTACATTTTCTTACATGTCCTATAATTTTTTGTTAGCATTATCCTTTATATTAAAAATAATTGAGAGTATCTTATTATAACACACACTATGTTTATCTTTTAATTATAATACATTACTTGATACATTGACGTTCCTCTTGTTTGGATACAAAATATTCCGAGACTGCTTTCTGTGGATCCGTCGTGATAATAGCTCTTTGAACGAGATCTTTCGATCCATCTTGTACCGTGGTCATATGTATAATTCTCTTTTATCTCAAAGAATTTTTAAAAATAACTGCGATTTTAAATGAACGTTGCAATCTAAGCGTATTTTTCTTAAAAAATATATATCAAAAGAGAGAAATACGTTACGTATTTACCTTTCTGCTGTATACGATTAATCGATCAAACAAATTGTGAATGTAGTCGCATATACATTGACGCGAGAATACAGACTTCTATGTATATATAATGTATTTATAATAGTGTATAGAAGTCTATGCGCAAGATCTCTATATAAGGAATATTTGACAGTTATATAACGTTACATAACGTTAAAGAGAAAAATCGAAAACAGGAGAAGCGTTGTTGAAAATAATAAATCAGATTTTATTTATGTCATACGTACTTTATACAAGAACTATCAACGATTTTATTTAAAAAAAAAGCGCAACTATTAACTTCCGCACCGATAACAGAAAGAAAGAGAGAGAGAGAGAGGGAGAGAAGGAGGAGATACATAATCACCGCAGATGACAAATATAAATCATATTCACGAATGGACTTCCTGGCCAAGTAGAGATACTTGTTTGAGCAGTTGCTTGGCATTAATAAAAGTCGTGGCACCATAGATCACGCGTTTATTCACCCCGGCGCCACTTCGTTGTTTCACATAGTCCATTAGATTCTGGTATTCTATATAGTTGCCACCACCCACCATGAAAACTATCACATCCTGAAACGTCGGCCGATTCTTTGGCATCTGCTCGGTATGCTTGAGTTGCTTCGGATCGAGATAGAGATAATCCTCAGTCCGCGAAGACTGCTTAGACTCCATCAGTTCATCCACTATCTTGGTGACAGGTAGATTGTGCTTTTTTACTACTAGATTTTTTACGCCCTCCATGACGAATGATGACCCTTGATTCATCAGCTTGGAGAACATACTGACGGTCTTGGTGCCTCCGCCTTCGTAGCTGCTCTGGATCTCGGCTATCCGGGTGTAGCTGCGCAATCGTTTGATGTAGACTAGCGGATTTAGATCACAGCCAGCCGCGGTCAGAGCTGCTTCCAGTTTATCATAATCTGCGTCAGACATATTCGTGCAAATATAATAGATAATAGCAAGACGCAATTTATCCTCGGAAGTACCGCAATCTGGATCACCGATGGTCTCTAGTACGCTCCTGTCAAGCGTTTGCTTGCTCATGATTTTCTCCTCCAATTCAAAGAAAGTATCGAGTCGTCTCGATTTGATGGCGTTTAGAATACCTGTAGCCACTGATGTGTGCATATCTATCAGGCGTTTCATTTCCAAAAGCTGCGGCAATGAATTCACTGCGCTCGTTAAGCGTGCAGTATTATTAGACACCATCGACAACGCCACTTCGCTGTCATTATCAATGCCCATAGAAGATTTAAGCTTCTTTACGTCCTCTTCGAAGGTGCGATACTGCTCCAGTTCCTCCTGTATAGCCTCCGCTACTCTGGGGAAAGGGCTACCCTTGTGTTGGCACCAAAAACGATCTCTATTGTCCAACTCATAGGCGCGTGTCTTGGAGCGTGTCCCACCAGCGGGAGATCGTCCTACATTTTCTTCTACGACTAACCTGTTGAGTGTCATCTCCAGAACATCGTGTGCCAAAGCCTGGTATGTCCACGTATGATGCAGCGGTGTGGCCATGTCAACATTACGATCCAGTACAATGAGCAAAGGCCTCTGGAAACTGAAATGCCCGGTAGTAGAAGCTTCGCCCTCGAACAGATTGTTCCTCGCATCCCATACATTCTCCCGCAGTTTCTTGTCAATCATTTTGGCGACCATCTCGGCGGCATTGCCTCTGGGACATCTTATAATGGGCACAGTACCTAGAGTGACAAATACTGAAAATAAACAGTCTACGATTATGTCCATCATGGATTCCATCTCGCTATCCTTGACGTCACCGCGATTGATCGCGTGATAGGATATCATGTCGCTGTTTTGATGGCGCAAGATAAACAGATCGTCCTCTAAAGTGATAAAATTCAGGTACTGATCGAACACCTTATGAATGTTGGCGACCACGCCGCCGAGTAACGCGGCAGCCGCCAGATCTTCCATCTTCTGCCGGGAGATCGGCGAGATGAAATTCAGGTGATAGATATCGTACAGACCGTTCTGCAAGTCCTGGCCGATCCTGCCGAGATTCTCGTCCGTGGGCGCGCAGAAATAAATCGCTGGCACCTCGGGGATGGAGTCGCGGTCCGAGTGCAGTTGCATATGCAACGTGATACCAAGCTCGCGCAGCTCCTTGACGGAGATGAGCGGCGATATGATGTCCTGGCCGAGGCGATCGTAGATGAAAAGCTTCCACGTCGGCATCGCCTCCTCGAGCCGCGACTCGGGCCGATTCAGATTCAGCATCTGCTTCAGGGCGTTTATCTGACGGTCGCGTAGGCTCATCGTGACCTGAGGAACCTGAGCCTAGAGGAACCTAACCTCACGCGTTCTTTCTTGTATGTTTTGATTGTCAAACGGTAATTTATCGTTCGTCAAGTTATGTGATTCGTGAATCCCACTGCGATCTCTGAAAGACGGCGAATGTGCTTTCGGTATCGCATATAGGGCTGTCGTCTGAATTTTTAAGAATTTGTCAACAATATGCAATACTTGTGGAACTGTCAAATCGACGGCAAAAAGAATAGGTATGTCACGTTGGCGTTTTTCCAGCCGAGATATTCGCATGCGACATTATCCGCATAATCAAGTTAGAAATAGATTTTATCGATTTCAAGTAATGCAGAAATTACAATTATCTGAATTATTATTGATAACAATAGATTGATTTGAATAATTTTTCTCTAATAAAATTTATAATTTTTTTTAATACATTACAATTATATACTTTATTTTGTTAATTATATATAGTACGTTTCTCTTCTCCGAGTAAATTGTCATTAATATATTTCTTTAAATAAATTTGGCAAAATTTGTCAATAAATAAGTTTTATTGTAATATGAAATTTTATTGTAATATTGTTTATGATAACGAAGTTTAATTTAGTTGGCTTTCACATCAAATATGCAATGACATTTGATACGATTTAGTTTTAACAACAAAACTCCTTTTTTTATTCCTTATTATGTATAAAAAAATAAATCTTGCACATCAAATTTATAGCTGTTGTCGCCAATAATAAACATTTTGCTTTTATAACAAACTGGGATATGCGTATTTGCATCGTTTTTCGAATATCTTATCTACTCTTTCCACTACTTTATTTTCGTATAAGTCAGGACTTTCAGGTGAAAGTGCTTTACCTTTCTGTGCATTCCAGAAACACATGTTTCTTAAATGCACCGAAAGATAAAGCAGGCTTTGTGTAAAAGATTTAAGAATTCTTCAAGGACACACTTTCTTTATATATATACCATTAGAATAGAATAATTAAGGGTGAATTTCAAAAGAGCAATATATCTCTTTCAGAATAGTGTTTTCTAATTTTGAAAGAAAAGTGTCTGTTCGACTATATAATACGTAGAAAGAAAAGAAATACTTCGGTTTGTTTCCATCCAGATGATTTATAGGACCTGAGAAAAATAATTATATGTACAATTTCTCAAATTTTCCATCTAGAATAGCTTATAGTTAACGAATCCCTTGAAAGTAGATTCCGTTAAAGTCGAGTAAAATCTTTTTCGTAATTTTAATATTAATTATAATATTAATAATATTGTAGTAGTAATATAATATATTAATAATTATTATAACATTACATTAACTTTAGTATAACATATTAATAATATAGTAATTAATACTAATATTAATATCATTTTACTTTGAGTAAATATAATTTTACAAATATAATAAAATGTATGCAAATGTTATAAACATATTATATAATATTTAAATTACAATCGATAATTAATTAAAAAATTTGCATTCTAAGAGATGTGTATTTCTAATAGAATTGTAAATATTAATTATAATCGTATAATGACAAATATGGGAAAACATACAATCTGTATCATAAATTCTTTATTATTTTGAGATAAAATGATAAACGAACTACTTTTAAATATACATGTCCTCGATGATTTTCAAGAAAATTACAAAATTAAAAAAAAATTCGAAAAATGCATTATGTATTCCAGAAAGAACATCGATTGTTCGAGAATGACCAATTATTACAATAGTTGCCATTTTTTTGGAGCCTACAAGATCAGGAGTAAGATACATGTCAACTATCAGCGCTTTCTTCACCATACATTTATACATAATTGGTATATGGTCATCTCAAACTATATTCTCAATGTTTCATTTCCATATTGCTCCTGTTTCTCTACTGCATAAATTAAGGCACAAATTGTTAAATTAGGGAAATTTTTTATATTCAAGTCAATATTAGATGGGTTGATAATGCAATGAAAAGGCTTTTTTTCCAAACTTCGTTTTCTTTTCCTGAACTGTTTCCAGAAATTTTTTAATCCTCAATTAATTTAACATCCTCATCTGGATCTGTGAGATATTCCTCATATGCTACTTGGAATTTAACATCATACTGACAGAATAAACTAATCCAGTATGCTACAAGATCTGGCGTAGTGTTTATGTAATTATCCCTGTTCTATATTTTCAAATGTTATTCCTAGATCGATAGCATCTCGAGGGATTTTAATAGGTATGGCTTCAGCAACTTCGGGAACAGGAGCAAGAGAACTCATAGTTCTTAGACTTAATTCAGGATACTAGTTAGATTTTAAACAAACTATAAAGGTTTAATCTCTTGTTTTTCCTCTTAACGATTATGTCCTTAAACATACAAACCCACTGTCAGCAGTATTGTCTCTTACATAAACTTCAAGATCTAGTAGTTCAAATTTTTTTATATCAACTTCATTTGAGAGTTGATTCCTACTGTAAACAATGGCTGTGTGTGTTTAGCAGGAAAAGCTGCTTTGTAACCGTTGTAAAATTCGTGAATCTAATTGGCGTATGCTCTTCAGATTCAGCCAAAATTAAGAACATACACCAAGGACTCACGAATTTTAGAATTGCAGAGCGGCTTTTCTTGCCGAAGAGAAACATTATCTTTTACAAAATCAAACTCTCCACGACTCGCTGTGTTAGAAATTTATATTTTATAACTTTCCCATCAGGTTTTATGACTTTTTCATTAGGTTTTAATTTTTCCATTAGGTTTTTCTCCGTTAGATTTTATGATTTTTCCTTTAGGTTTTATGTCTTTTGTATTGTATTGTATATACAATTGGTTACCTGCAACTCAGAAAACAGCAAGGCGTCCATATTGTAACGACAACTGCCGTTTCTATGTGCCGGTTTACCTGCGTGTCGCTCAGTCTTTAGATGCCTCTCGCGACGAACGGTCATGCGTACAGTGCGGTTAGTATCGTCCGTTCCTTAAGCGAACGCAGCGCCACCAGAGACGTTTCTATCGCGATCGTTGATTGGACGTTCCACGAGAGGCAACCGATCATTCGGCGACTGCGTCCAATGCGAGGTAGTGTTACATCGCGATTCTCTCTCGGTGAATACAACAAAGATACGTGTGGTAGCCATTTTACGCATGGAGATTTCGTTCGCGTAAGCAGTAGTATAGTAATAGCGTACGCGCGTGATTTTTCGACGATAAGTCGAAGTACGGTGCGTGTCTCACGGGCCGTGCCTGCGTTGCACAATGCGCTGAGAAAGGTAATTATCGGATCGGTGGAGGATCGAGTGAATGAGTGCCGAGTGCGTAAGATCCGCGAAGGTGCGAAAATCGGACGGTGGAGATTCGCGTGAAAGAGGACGGGCGGGAGAGAGAGGGAGAGAGAGAGAGGAGCGGCACCGATGGCGAACAACGGCTCCAGATGCGCGCTGGACATCCTCGCATGAGCGTCGCGGTGTCTCGTTAATCGGGCGTAAATTACGCAACGCGCTCTTGGAGACGAGAAACTTGGCGTTCCTCGTCGACATCGGTTTTACGCATCGCGGGAGAGAGCGAGAGCGACGAGAGAGCGAGTGAGAGAGGGAGACTGCGAGCGAAATCGATAAGTGTCTCTCTGCGTATGGATGTGTGCTCGTCGACCTTCGTCTAGAGCTGCAGATAAAATTACATAAATAGGCGTCGTCGTGTATGTATACGTGTGTGCGCGCGCGTTAATTTTCCTTCCTTCCGAGAGCGAGGATCTTGCCCGACTCGAGGACGATCGAATGTGCTCCGATGTGCATCCTCCAATGGAAATCGAAGGTACAACTTGTATCAGAGTCTCTCGTCACTTTCGTCCTAGATTCCGTCTCTGCGAGGCGAAAGTGCGCTTTTTTTTTCGGGTACGACGAGCGTAAAGTATCTTGCTCCGTATAGTGTATATTGTAGCACGCTTCTCGGTTCTCGAAAATATTTTCATTTCCCGGTTGGTTTTTTTTCATTATGAGTCATCCTTTGGGAATTTGTTTAAACTGTTTCCGAGCGAGATATCTGGACACAGATAACGCTTATGTTCACATTCTGCTGACGACACGTGTTACAAATATTTCCCATATATTGTTCGATATTCGCCGAAAATGTGTTAAGGCATTCCTGACCTCGTGCCTATATAATAAATGCAAAGTAAGCATGTGAATACATGCAGGACACATTCACGTTCATCACGACATGTTAAGATGTGTGTACATCTGTATGTGCGTGTGTGATTTCGGCGATATACAATTCGCTATGAATGAATGCATTCGTAATGGCATGGCGTTGAAATTTCGATGAAATTTTTATTAATAAACTTTTATTGATAAATTTAACAGAGTTTATTTAGAGAACGTGTTTTAAAATAAGTTTCTGGAAAAACACGTAAACTTTTACAAATATTAAGTGAATGATGTAATATTGAGCAATATATACAGATAATATAAAAGATTATCCACGAAAGAAGGGGGAAGGGAGTATCATTGGATGATCTCATTTTGTTTAATATATTTTATTATCTATAATAATATTAATCATAGAAATAATATATAATCAATTTTAAAATAAAAAAAAAATATGTTTTTTGGAAAATATGCGAAATTTTGTTTTATATCTGATGGAGTAAAATTTTCATTTTTGGATATAAATAAATAAACTACATATTGTTTTTTCAGAAAAAAATTATATTTATATAAATAATTATTTAAATAAAATATTTGTATAAAATTTATATTTGACTGATAAATGAATTGTTTGTTATCTTTATCTCACCTTTCTTTTTAGTTAAAAATATAAACATTGTATTGTATATAATACATGTATGTTTCTATTTTATGTTATAGTTTGAATGCCTACTCTTGGCGTGATCAAGATCTTATACTTGTTCATTAACAGCCTATCAAAATGGCATCGACAAAGTCTAAAGAAGTTGCGGATGAATACATCTCATCCCTATCGGATCTTACAATCAACAGTAAGCCGCTTATTAACATGCTCACCATGTTGGCCGAAGATAACATTGAACACGCATCAGCAATAGTGCAAGCTGTTGAGACTCATCTACAAAAGGTTATTTATCTTTCATAGTTACATCTAAAATATTCAAAATTGATAATATGATTGATTGATATTTTATCCAAAATTGATAATATATATTCATATATATTTTTTATAAAATACTAATTTGCCTCAAATTGATGACTTTTCGCCATCAATATTATTACATTTTCTAATATTATAAATATTACATTTCTAAT